TGCCAGAAATTTGGAAACGGTATGCTGTACTGGTTGGCATTCGCACCGGATGCTCCAATACGAACATTTCAGAGCGTTTGGGGTAAATATGATGACATTGTAGAGCATTCGGAAAGAGTTGGGTGATTACCCATTCAGCAACATGGTGCTTGGCGTTATCAAAAGTGAAGGCGACGTCATGCTTCAATTCATCTTCGCACAGGTTATCAAACTCGGAGGTCTATATCAAGTGTCTTGAGGAGGTAGTGCTGCCCTGGATCAAGAGGGTTGGCTGCTGGAAGACCCTATGTCTGGCAACAGGACTCTGCACCATGTTACACAAGCAGGAGAACCTATTTATGTCTGTCAGACAATTTCTGCGACCACATCAACACTTACATATGGCCACCTAACACCCCAGACTGCAACTCCCTTGATTATTATGTGTGGGGTGCAGTTGAGAGAGAGACCAACAAAACTCCTTGTAATAACAAAGATGAACTGAAAGCAAGGATTTTAGTAGCATTCACAAACTTAAACAAGACTGTTCAGAAGAAATGCAGCAGATTCCGAAGTTGTCTGTAGGCCGTGGTTTAAGTCAATGGCGATTTTATTGAATAAATTTACTCTTTAGTATTCCAAGATATTTTTGTGTAATTTTAGTAAATATATTTGTTAAAATAAAACGCCAGTGTTATTTCCATTTTTGTGTAATTTAGACGTCAATTTATCAATCGCAGCCTGAGTGATTATCCGTTGTTTTCTTCACGGTTCTAAATTCCGTTATTGTTCCCTTAGACTGGCTATCATCCAAGACCAGAGATCCTTGTCTAATTTATTTAACCCGTAGCTGGGGCAGAGAGAATAGATGAATTTATGCTATTCTCAAAAACATTAGTGCAAAAATGAACGCAACTGACTGGGCCTGAAGTAGAACTTACCCATTCCACTTTCTGCACTGATAACCAATACATCATTATTTACGCATTATCTACTAGTGTTTAGTTGTTTTACGTATTGTATTTTTAAAATTTATTTTACTGTTTTATGAACAGCCAATATAAAAGTTTTATTTGTGATTCCATGATAGGTCATCAACTGAAACTACATAGATTTAAGCTTGCATATAGAAATAAAAAGATAAAATGTATTATTGATATTTTCTATTCTTGTAACCTTTTGAAATGTTACAATGTAACTGTTTAATTTAACATGTTACGTCTTCTATAGTATCACAGTTTCATATTTTTCCCTTTTTGAGTAGCAAGAAAAGAGTACTTAACTCTTATGCAATGTCGGTACTTTTATTTCGCAGTGAATGCTGGACAATCTCCGCAAAAATGATGAGCCAACAGAAATGTGGTTCCACAGAAGGATGCTGAGAATACCATGAATTGAACACAATAACGAAGTTTTAGTGAAGATGGAAGCAAAAAGGACATACTTAGAATCAGAAAGAGAAAATGGAAATTTCTTGAGCACACGAAGAAAGAGAGCTTTGAGAATTGACCACTTACAGGACATTATTGAAAGCAGAGAAAGCATCGACTAACCTACCTAACGAGCTTGTATAAATAGTTTACAGGACTGTGTTTAGTATATATTAGTATAGATATATATTAGTATAGAGACAGAATTTACTAATAGCTACAAAGAACAGGAGATTGTGAAGAGCTATGGTCATCCATGTTCTGAAGAGACAAGGTACATAGAATAATAATGTTTCGCCCTATCATTCAGTAATAATAATACACATAATAATGAAGAGGTAAAAGCAGGTAAAAGCATCACTACGGCTTTTTCCACTTAGGAACAACTCTTTATAATGGAAACTGCAAACTAAATGACCTGCAAGAAAAATATGAAAATAGACATAAAATGATTAGTAATAACATCGCATAAAAAATGCATTAAGACTAGTTATTAGAAGTGAAACCCGAGAAAGTAAAGCAAAGCAATAAATTCCGTTTTGTCTAGAATGAATATAAAATAGACATAATTAGGCGGGGAAAATAAATCACTCCGGACAGTGCTAGCAGCTTTGGATTGGCCAAACAAATAATTGTTTGAAAGGACCTAAAAATACCCTTGATAATAGGAAAATCGAAATATGTTAGGATTGTAATATTCAGACCCATTTGTATTCAATGTCGATGCTGCATGAGCAAAGACAACAATAAAAAAAAGTATCACAGTAAATGTACAAAACGGCAGGTTTAAAGAAAATGGTAAAGGCAATATTTCTTGTTTTCTAATAGGCAAATATGTGACATTCATTAACCGAACAGCCAGTGCTTTATTGATTGATTTGTTTTCTACGGATTATCAACCCTTTGCAGGTTATTTAAATCCAGAAAATTTTTTTTGAGATAATAATGGTTTAGTGATACAAGTCTTGCTAATTAACCCATAGCTGGTGGGAAAGGAGTTGGATTCATATTATACTCAAAGGCTTTTGCGTCTCAGTGAATATAACGAACCAAACCGGAATTTGAACTCCGATCTCTGATTAACAATTCTGAGTCATTATCCATTACACCACCTGCACACCCAAGCTTAATACACTTGGTATTCTCAATCGGTCACCCACCAATGTACTGACTATGCTTGACGTTGCTTAACTTCGGTGATCGTACAGGAACCTGTGTCTCATCGTGATATAGCCGTAAGCCCAGCCGTTGCTATTGTCGGTTGAAATCTATTATATAAAATAAAATAAAAAAAAAACTTTTCTCTAAAATAATTTTTCAGGTAAATAGGTTTCTCAAGTCCAGTAACTGTTATCGATCTTTCCAGTAGTGATGGGGGTTTCCTTTCTAACCTTTTATTTAAAGTAGTGTGGAACGTCAGCATCTTCATTATGTCATTATATCACCTTCATGTTCCGTGTGATATCCATTTATTTGTTGCTACTGTTGAAAGTACTTAGGTGATGTGATTTTTCTATTATCTGATACAGTTTTTTTTGTTTGTCAAGGCTACAAGGCTTCGAAGAAGGATAGTCGCCGTCAAGATCCACAGGCTTCACTCGCTCAAAGCCATTTAACCATCGATCTTGGAAAGCAGCTTGTATAGAGCTGACAGCTATAGAGCGGACAGATATTTCTGAACGGCCAACAGAAAAAGAAAAAAAAACTGCAAAAAATCCTAAGGGGGGGGGGCAAATCATTAAAAAATACTCTTTAGTTGATCCTCTGAAGGACATGGAGAAGATTTGGCAACAAGGCAGTAGCTTATAAGGACTTAACCCAGTGAATTCAACCGTCCTCTCAAAATGAAAATCAACTCGAGACCAAAAAAACGACAGCTGAAATCTCATGCACCTTTCTCTCGCCTTCATCAATTCTTCTTTATGTCCAATGTCCACTCAAGACGTAGGAAGTCATGGCTCTCCACAACTTCCTGTTACTTAGCTCTTAATAAATTTTGTTATTTCTCCTAACTCTGTTACGCTATCCATTTACTCAAGCTCACTAAGAATGTTATGCGTTGTCATTTACCTCTCTTGACTTAAGTCTGCCCTGTGAGTATCAGATTTTCCAATCCCTCTTTCCCTATTGTATGCCCTAGAAACCTAAACTGTCTTTTTCTGATGTTAAGTATAAGTCTCCTTTTTGCTTTCATTTTCTCTAGTAAAAGGAAAAGAGTACTAAACTGTTATGCGATATCAGTCCTTAACCCCTTATTACAGGGAATGCTGGAAAATCTCCTCACAGATGAAAAAGAAACTTTAAGCAACAAAAATGATTCTACAGAAGGATGAGAATACCATGGACAGAATATGTGAGCAACAACGGAATTTGAGAGAAAATGTAAGCAAAGAGGACACTTATACTTAAAATCAAAAAGAGATGGTTGAAATTTCTAGGGTGCACATAATGAGGAAAGAGGTCTTGGAAAATTTGACACTCATAGGACATATTGAAAGCAAGATGGATAGAAGAAATTAACAAATAATCAACCTAGATTAAATGGAAGGTCAAACAGGGTTTAGAAAAGATAACAAAAAGACAAAATTTATTAAGAAATTGTGGAGAACCATGAAAGCATAAAATTGCGTTTAAAATATTTAGATTTCGGCGTAACCCATAGAGGTGTTGATATGCCGCTAAAAACTGGTAAACTGAAAAAGAAAACCGTTTAAGAGTTATCGACAATATAGGTTCTGCTTCATTCACGTCGCGGTTACAGCCCGGCCGCTATTACAGGTTTTGTTTACATATGTTTACAACGTGTAGTGATGTACGGAAGCTTCACTTGTCTTGAGAGCTGTGCAAAGAGCGAACTTTAAATTAAATTTTGCGAACTGCGCAGTAATCAAGACGTGTAAGAAGATCAGAAATCCGTAAAAATGCCGTTAACTAAGTAAGCTTCCGCACATTATTACTCGAGGCAAACGTATGTAAACAACACCAATAATGGTGGCCGGGATAGACGCGAAACATCTGAACCTACATTGTCGATAACTCTTAAACGATTTTCTTCTGCAAACTTTTATTGTTATTTTGGAATTAAACAGCCAATTTCACACCAGAATGGAAATTTTCATTACTATTGGTTTCCGAAGCTTAATCTGTAAATTTACCATCGATCCATCCAACCAACCAACGAAATAGCTGTAAGAGAAAAATGTTTCACAGTGTACAGTGGGAATAATGCTTGATGCGGATTATAGAAAGAATGTCGTTCTAGAATGACCATTTTTGGAGCTTTGGCATTTAAAGTTTGAAATTTTCTAAGAATCATATAGAGAATAATAATGGATTTTGGAAGAAAATACTATAGTTTGAGAAAACAAAAATAGCTCTTTGATAACATTACTATTCCAATACAGAGTGATCATCAAATTGTTGACACCGGTCAATAAAAAGTAGTTTTGGTGGGTATAATTTTAACATATTGCTTCCGATAAAATTTTTAAAAATTATTTGAATAAAACCCAAATAACAAAATTTTATTAATCACAAAATTATTGGTACATTTAATTGATAGTCAATAGTGTATAATTTTAAAGCAGTGAT